AAAAAGAAAAGGCCAAAATCAAAAGGTTTTGACTGACTGGAACCGAAAATTTTTTGCCCTGTCAGTTTGTGAAAATTTTTGAGATTTCAACTTTTAGTCCCGATTCGAGATGGGAATGGTGTTTTTTAACCATTTCCTGCCCAGCCTTCAATCCAACTGTACATCAGTAAGTAGGGCTAGCGTTTCTAGGCGAGTGTAAAGGAATCAAAGCTAGAAAACGGGGTAAATTAGAGTTTGCTGTAACTTCCCCTTTTTCCAGCTTCATGTCAGCTGTTTTTCCTACTACACTCGTCTCTTCCACTCCCCTGGTATGCAAGTTAAACCATTTTAGGTGTCTTTATTCTCACCCCCACTTACGCTATTTACACATTACCACTGCATTTGGCTCGTTGCCTTTTTGGATATATTCTAAGATTCAGATCATAGAAGGCCTAATTTGGGAATCCTTAGCTTGCCCTGAATAGCACTTACTCAGCTTAATCTACAGCAAGGGAGATTTAGGTTTGATATTAGGAAAAACTTTGTAACTATAAGGATAGTTAAGCCCGGGAACAGGTTACTAAGGGAGGTTGTGGAATCCCCGTCACTGGATGCTTTTTAAGAACAAGTTGGACTAACAGACACCTGTCCGAGATGGTCTAGGTATATTTGGTCCTGCCTCAAGATGGGGGCATGGACTAGATGACCTCCTGAGGTCCCTTCCAGCCAGACATTTCTTCTGTGAAACAGTCCCACCAAAGCCAATTCCCTTTGCTACTCAGCATGAGTAACAGTCTCAGCATTGAGCCCAGAGCAATTTGGGAAGAAAAGGAGCTGGTTATCTTGTTGTTTTCTCTTGATGTGATGGACTCTGTTTCCGTGCAGTGCTGGTCCCACTTGGTGCCGTAGGAAACATCCAGTATCAGTTAGCCAGCCTTCCACTGATAACTGACCTTTATGTCGGACTGGATTTAAATGTAAGTGTTGACTTTGGATAACAAAACCCTAAGACTGCATTGTGCTGGTTTCTGGTGTTCTTTATTCTGATCACTGTGCTAAGGGGGAGTCTGTTTGCCTTCAGGGACATTGATACAGTTAATATAAATGAGGAACGTCCTGCACCGCATAACCCTAGAGTACGGCTGACCTCATTAATATTAAAATACTAGTCGCACATTTAGGACAAAAAGAAAAGGAGTACTTGTGGCACCTTAGAGACTAACCAATTTATTTGAGCATAAGCGTGTAGCTCATGAAAGCTTATGCTCAAATAAATTGGTTAGTCTCTAAGGTGCCACAAGTCCTCCTTTTCTTTTTGCGAATACAGACTAACACGGCTGTTACTCTGAAACCTGACATTTAGGACATGATCTGAAGCCCATTGAAGTCAATGGACTTTGGATCAAGCCCTTTGCTTTTCTCTTTGCAAATCATTGACAAACCTTTCCTGATTACTGCAAAGATAATTATTACTGGTAACTGTTCACCAATGGCTGGGACAAACCATTTTCATCCTCTCCGATTAGGCTGTCTGCAACCATCCAGTGTCACTGTTTGCCATTACTCAGGGAATGTGGCTTGTCGGCTAGGCTGTCATTTAGAATTTTTTCTGCTTCTTCACAGATGACTAACACTTGTTAAACAGGTTTCAGAGTAGCAGTCGTGTTAGTCTGTAGGCGCAAAAAGAAAAGGAGGACTTGTGGCACCTTAGAGACTAACAAATTTATTTGAGCATGAGCTTTCGTGAGCTACAGCTCACTTCATCGGATGCATATGAAGTTGAGCTGTAGCTCACGAAAGCTTATGCTCAAATAAATTTGTTAGTCTCTAAGGTGCCACAAGTCCTCCTTTTCTTTTTACTTGTTAAACAGGAGAGCACAGAATAAGGAGCAATGAATAGCAAAACACAAATGGCCAATAATGAATACAAATAACGAAGACCAGCAAGTAATAAAAAAGCAAACAACAAATGTTCCTATCCATGCCTGGGTTTCTTTATTTGCATGTCAATATGCAGGGATTTGAGTCAGGGTTAGGTATGTCCCAGGCACGTGTGAATGAAAACGTGCAGAGGGAATATCAAGGCAGCATGAATGACCGTGCTTCAGTCTTTGTGTGAATGCTCATGCACGCAGCGTGGCAGTAAACAGCCAGCTCCACCCATCAGCTCTCCGTACCCAAACCCTTTCATTTGCCAAGCAGTGAAATCCACGGGGTGGGACACAGCAGTGAGCTAAGGGGTTGGTTTCAGGCCTACTTAATAAAACAGAGAAACCTTCATTGTGCATCCTCGAGTTTGGCAAACTAACTTTTAGTTAAATGTAAAGAGAACGGTTGAGAGAACAAAATGTTCTTAAATAAGAACAAGAGCAGATGAGCAATGGGAAAGGTGTAAACCCAGCAGCAGCCTCGGATTCGCAGTTCCAGGTGAGTCTCCTGGTTTTAAGTTGATGGTTTCACTCGGTACCATCTCCATTTCCAGGCCGTGATCCAGCAGGTGGGAGGAGACAACATCTCCCTCCCTGGCAGCGCTGTCCCCGTCCCCCTGCCTCCCCTGCAGGGCAATGTTCTGAACCTGGGGCTGAGCCAGGCTTTCCTCAATGCCGTGCTGTCCCTCCTCGGCCGGATCCAGCCACAGACCTTTATTTCTAAACCAGACGTGGTGAGTACTGAGTGTCGGCGTATTTCCATCCAGGCTGGAGGAAATACACGGTCGCCTGTTTGGAGCGTTGGTTCCATCTCCTGATGCTCTGGGCAGTTCCTAATTCCCCTGCCCTAGCTCACTGAGCTGTGCTTAACAGCTTGGAAAGCACTGAAACAGCAGAGACGTTCACTCAGGCCGGGGAAGCTAGGAGCACGTAGGAGTGTGACCAGCATTTCTTGCGTGTCCCAAACTTCTGCACATTCAGTGGCAATTTTGCAGAGCTAGGACTTCAGGCCTGGGCAAGAGGCTGTGAGCAAACCGGCTGGAAAGTGCAAAGTGGCTCTGGGAAGCAAATGGGGTGAGCGGTCACTGCTGAGAGGGTGGAATCTGCCATTTAAATCACATAACACCTGAGCTTGGCCTTTTCAGCTGAAGGTTGTTCTGTTTTCCCAGTTCTCTGGTGCCACCCAGCTGACGGACGCCATCACGGCTCTGATTCCTGCTGGGGTGAGTGACGTATTTGTGTCACATTACATGGTGTGCCCGTGTAAACACCATCAGCTCTCTGTCCCTCTGCACTAGGCACCATGGTGAGCCCTAGCATGCCAGGTCAGCTCTACTCATCCTAGCGCCCTGGGGTCCTTCTGCCTCCTGCTCTCAGCCACGCAGTGTGTCCATTGTGGCTAATTCAAGCTGAAATGGTCCCGGCTTCTCTCCCTAAAGCCCTGCTCCCGGGAGGTGTGAGGGGAGCAGCCGGCCACAAGCAGATTTTCTTCCCTTCTCTCCAGTCCTGCTGTCTCTGGGAGGAGGGCAGTGGCTCACCTGCAGCCTATACTCAAGGCACGGCCCTCCTGTGAGGGCTTGGCATTGCAGCCAGTCTTGTCTTACGTTGGGGTTGGCTGTCGGGTCTCTGCTGCCCTGAGCAAATCGGGAAACAACATCTCCTGTCCGCCTGCATTCGCCAGCCCAAACAGCTGCTCACTACTGTGCAGCTCCCGCCTCCTAGTCTGGCTCTGCACCCTCGCCCCTGGGTGGCTTGCCCCATTCTGATATCCCTCAGGGCGGGCTTTCTGCCACAGGGCCCTCACTACCCCCAGCCCCTTCTAGAAGGATCTGCAATCACTTCCGTGCATTGGTGCTTTCAAGAGTAGGGAGAGGTGACCTATGCTACCCAATCTAAGGCACCTCACAGGAATGGGGTGGGATAGCGGAGTCAGTGGGCAGGCAGTCACCCTGCAAGGAGGTCAACTCCCCCTTTGTCGGGCCACACTAAGCCTCTGGTATTGAGAGATTAAGCATGGCAGCTGCCCTGAATGGCATTCATTTGCATTTCCCAAAAGCTCTCTGCAGCCTGCCGAAGAACTTGTATTCCCTCTGCAAGGTGCAGGGAATTCAAACCCAGGATCCCTGCAAGGTTTGGAAATTGCACTGACCTGACACTGGGATTCTGAGCTGGGTGGGGGTCTAGTTATGAACTGCTAGGCCCTGGGCGTTAAACCATGACGTTCCAGCTGGCTTGTGCTAATAGAAGGCAATATCCAGTTCATTCACGCCTAGCCCTGTGTCTCCGATCCCTACAGTGTCCCAGCTGCTCTGTGGTATCTCCTCTGAACATTAAAATAACAGTGCTCGGGCCCCCACTCATCACTCTGGAAGCCAACAAAGCCACCGTCAAGCTCTCTGTCAAGATTCAGGTGTTCAAGAAATATTCGGATGGAACCATCCAGACTCTCCTTGCCCTGAAGGCTGTAAGTATGGCTGCCCAGAGTTCAAAGTGCTACACTCTGCACTCAGCTGACTGAAGCAATTGCAAGTGGAGTTGGCACCAGCTCTTCAGACGGACTCTCTCTCATTGCAGGACCTTGTTTTAAATGCCCAGGTCTCTGTGGCTGGAGGCAAGCTGCTGCTCAGTGTATCCCTGACCAGGTATCCGGTCTCGCTGTTTGTGAGTCTCGGCAGCACAGTCTCCAGGAGAGGGAAGAGGGAACCAAGCACACAGCACAGTGCACTTCCTTGGGCTGGCCTGCTTTTCAGCAGTGCTGAGCACTCGTGGTGCCTAGGGACTCGACAAGGGGCTGCAGGTGCTCAGGAAATCCAGGCAGTTATTTGTTAGGGACTTGAATATGGATGTAGGGGTTTCAAGTCAGGAATCAGAGTATGAAAAATCTGGCTCAGGGTTTAAAAGCTGAAATATCTGTGTACTTGTGACTGTATTTTGAGTGTGTGTGTGTGTGTGTGAGTTTCTCTCTCTCTCTATCACTGTACTCTGGGTGTGTGACTGCTCCAAAGATATTCACCCAATCGTTTTGTCTCTGGAAGATAAAAGATCAAATCAGACAATTTGTTGGCTGACAAGGTACCACTTGTGTTCTTTTCCCCAGTGCGGATCTAATCTTGGAATCTTCAGACGTCGGCATCGTTAGCGTAAGTTCATTTTTCTAGAAATATCTAAAGAGCACAGTCCGAACAAACACTTGCTGTGCCCCATATCTGTGGGGAGAGGAGACAAGCAGAGATCTGTAGCACCGGAGGCTGCTGTTGGTACAAACATTGCTTTCTCCCGCCTGTGGTGATGGCCTCAGCTGGCTGACATTCCTAATCACTAGCTGCCACAGTTCGTAGATTGAAGTTGTTCTTCAGTTGTGTCATTCTCCTTCTGCCTCCATGAGGTGACACAGGGTCAAACCCTGAAGTCCTCACTCCGGACTCAGGCAAAGCTTCCACTGACTGAGCGGGAGCTTTGCCTGAGAAGGGAGGGCGTGAAATCTGAGTGAGGATGCCAAGGTTTGGCAAAGAAAACGGGCAATGTTTGCTCTCCATAAGCTGCATTGCTGGGAGATGAAGCATTAGGCTCTGCTCCCATGCTGCAGGGCCAGCTGAATCCCAGCCTGCGTGCCTGGCTGTCACGTGCCAGCCAGAAGCTCACTGCAGCACTATGCTTTGTTTCAGGTCTCTAGTCTCGGGACATTGATCAATAAACTTTTGGTGGAAACTTTTGTGCCGCTCATCAATGGTAAGGCCAGCTCAGGGCTATCTTCAGAGTTCACATTGGCCAGGGACGTCCCAAAGCAAACGTCTCTGCTGCTTTGATGGTAAATCTCTGCTGGCTTCTTAAAGTCACCGTGACATTTAGGTACTTTTGGAATTTGAATGGGAAGAGTTGAAGTGGGGCTGGAGCCAAACCTGCAGCTTGCCGGTAGCTGCTACGGAGCCCTGGTAGACAAATTGTCAGTTGTCTTGCTAAAGCCTTATTGGTGATGGTGATAATTTTGGGCTAGATAATTTTGGGTTTCCCTGCTTAGGCAGCTGCCTGGGGGGGGAGAGAGAATTCCCCTGAATCCCCCTTTTCCTTGAGCAGCCTGAATACAGGGGCCCAGAGCTGCAGCTCCTATGCTTGGGGAAGTGCATGCTCTACTCCAAAGGTGTGCCCCCTCCTATCCCCCAGGGCTCCCCCCAACTCCCAGATTTGCAGCTAACAGGACTGGCTGGCTGAGTGCATGAGGGGGAGTCTGCTGCACCTCTTGAAGGGGAGTCAAATGTTACTCCTTCCTCAGCATAGCTAGCGAATGGCCTTTTAGTGCTGCCCGGGGGGTGGTGAAATCCCCAGCGCTGTGTCTAGAAGCTGTTATCTAGCCCTCTATTCCTAAAGCACCTGGCCCCGGCTCAGATGCTTGTGTTCCTTGCAACAATTAACAACAAAGAACCTCAGAAATGAAAACAGCTGCATTGCAAAGTTTCAAGAGCTGTCTGTATTTGATGAGACTCAACTCCGGTCCCCCAGCCTTCCCTCCTTGAAAACTCTGTGCTAGTCTGATGGGTAAACTCATGTCTTCAGTGAGAATTCAGCAGGTGCATAGAACTGTGCAGCCAACTTCCTTCCAGCTGGGTGAAATAAACGTACTTGTTGTCTCTTCCAGAGGCTCTGACTGTCGGACTCCCACTGCCAAATGTGCTGGGCATTAAGCTGATTAATGCTGTTCAGATTGTGGAGGTAGGAATTCAGAAGGGCTATTTCCATCTGCCCTGCTGCTGCCTCTCCCATCTGTGTGCTTGGAGCAACTCACTCCTGAAGTTTGTCGCTGGGCAGGGAGTTTGCCTTTTGTAGAGCCAGATATGTTGTCTTGTATTGCACCAAGTTCCCTTCCTTTAGAGTCAGGGACACGTCTTCTCTGGGAGACTATTGTGCCTTTAAAGGCACTGGCTGCATTGTAGGGATTGTACCTCAGGGGCCAGCTTTGCTTCCTGGAGCAGCTCAGTGTGCAGGAAGGGTGCACAGCCTGCAAAACCCGTCGGCCCTGCCTCTGCTGGAGGAAGCAGTCCTGGAGCACAGGGACTGGCTTGTGACACCTCCATACATGGGATGCACCAGGGTAGGGGGAGTCATTACCCTCCCTGTGCTGGTGCAATGGCCATGCACAATTGTGCCCTCAAACCACGACGATTCCACAGTTGCCCCTTGCCCCAGTGGCGTCACATCTTTGCGTGTCGCAGCCTCTCGCCCCTCCTTGCTGCAATCTTTGATTTCTTTAGCAAATCCTACCCCCCCCCCCCCCAAGTGTTCTGGTTTAACTTGGATTTAAACTTGGAGAGTGGTCAGTTTAGATGAGCTATTACCAGCAGGAGAGTGAGTTTGTGTGTGTATGGGGGTGGGGGGGATGTGAGAAAACCTTGATCTATGCAGGAAATAGCCCGACTTGATTATGTAAAGAGTTTCAGAGGAACAGCCGTGTTAGTCTGTATTCGCAAAAAGAAAAGGAGTACTTGTGGCACCTTAGAGACTAACCAATTTATTTGAGCATGAGCTTTCGTGAGCCACAGCTCACTTCATCAGATGTGTACCGTGGAAACTGCAGCAGACTTTATATACACACAGAGAATATGAAACAAGCCACAGCTCACTTCATCAGATGTGTACCGTGGAAACTGCAGCAGACTTTATATACACACAGAGAATATGAAACAATAGGTATTGTTTCATATTCTCTGTGTGTATATAAAGTCTGCTGCAGTTTCCACGGTACACATCTGATGAAGTGAGCTGTGGCTCACGAAAGCTCATGCTCAAATAAATTGGTTAGTCTCTAAGGTGCCACAAGTACTCCTTTTCTTTTTATGTAAAGAGTTGTCACTTTGGATGGGCTAGCACCAGCAGGAGAGTGAATTTGTGTGGGGGGGTGGAGGGTGAGAAAACCTGGATTTGTGCTGGAAATGGCCCACCTGTTGATCACTTTAGATAAGCTATTACCAGCAGGACAGTGGGGTGGGAGGAGGTATTGTTTCATATTCTCTGTGTATATAAAGTCTGCTGCAGTTTCCACGGTAAACATCTGATGAAGTGAGCTGTAGCTCACGAAAGCTCATGCTCAAATAAATTGGTTAGTCTCTAAGGTGCCACAAGTACTCCTTTTCTTTTTGCGAATACAGACTAACACGGCTGTTCCTCTGAAACCGCTCAGGGGTGTGCTTCCAATGCCTTAGCAAGGGGCTGTCACAAAGACGGTCCCCTCTCCTGCTGGCCCGGCAGGGGTGGCTGCACCTGCAGAGAGGAACGGCCCCAAGGGTCTGCCATTTCTTGTCTGCTGAGGACAATGCGGCTGTCTCATCATTTTGAGGCCGGGGGAGGTGGCAATCACAGATGCACTCAGCTGCGCTTTGCTGGGGGCGTTTGTGCTTTTGACAGCGTCTGGAGAGCATGGCTCAGTGTTCTGCTGGTAATGGAGGAGGGGCGGGTGGGGAAGTTACACTCCGCATACATTTTTATGAGACCTTAAAATAACTGACCTCTGGCAGGGATTATTGATCAGGACCCAGAGAGGGGAGTTTCCAGTCTCTAGCAGAGGCAGGGAAATTGCTCCACAGCCTTCCTTTAAGTTTGGTGCCAGAATTTTTACCAGGCGCTTCCAGGGACACTCCAGACCCCTACAGCCCCTCAGCTGCTAATGGAACAGACTGAATGAAATGCCCCATCCTTTGGGGTAAGGAAGTAAGTTAAACTTGTCACTCTTTAAACTTCCTCAGGGCCTGGTTGTGGTGCGTGTGTGAGCCTGGAAAGCCCAAAGCATGCTGAGGTCTTTGTGGTGACACCGCTGACAGCAGAAAGAGAGCCCGAAAGACCTACAAGAATGAACCAGCTAGACTGATATTGTCCTATATTCCTTTCTCTAACTTGATTCAAGGCTGAGTCAGATTTTCAGGTAGTTTAGGCCTAATTTGCACATGTAAGTACTAGGATTGCACGGTCAAACACCAGCTGAGAACAGTGCGTGCCACTAACTAGATGAATTAGCACAGTTTGTGTACCGCATGTGAGGTTAGGTATGTAGCTGAATGGCTAAGCTCTGTGGGGGGGCCCCTGGGGGGACAGTGTACCAGGTGATTCTGAGTTTTACATGGGAAAATATGGTAGATTTAGTATAATGAACAAGTGAACTTGTTAGAGACTGTTAAGTAAACCTCACCATCTCAGGGTCAGGAGAGTTTCCTGTGCCAAGCAGGGGATTATGGGTAGGCAGGGGTGTGCTTCCCTTTTTGTTACTCTTTTAATAAACATTTCTACTTTTTCAGCACTACAGATTGTGTTTCTCTTTTGTATATTTCCCAGAGAGCTCCCTGTGTTCAGTTTCCCACTGCAGATTGAGTTCACTTTTGGTGATTAACACACAGATCTTTGAGAAGTTGCTCACCAGAAAACTTCCATAGGACCGTTTGTTCCGATCTGTAACAATGTAGCAGCTTGCGTCTTTACCTGACCAAATGTTAATCCATGACCCGCTGCATTTCAAAGGCCACCAAGAGAGTGCTGGTTTCTGAAATCTGAAACAGAGCGAGCGACTACTAGAGGATTGCTAGGCCATTCTTCTCCACTGGAGGGTGACTCATGCACACCAAGTTCTATGCCTGCACAGACTAAAATGTCCTGGACTCCACCATTGTGAAAAGGGAATTGAACTCAGGACATTTTGCTTTAAAAACAAGAGATCCGACTGGTTAAAATGAACCTGGGGGCCCGATTCTCCTCTCACACGAGGGTACATTGGCACTAACCTCGCCAAAGCCAATGGAGTTACACCCGGGAAGTGAGAGGAGAATCAGACTTTGGCCGTGTTAGTGAGATAGGGTGACCAGATGTCCCGATTTTATAGGGACAATCCCGATATTCGGGGCTTTGTCTCATATAGGCACCAATTACCCCCCACCTCCTGTCCTGATTGTTCACACTTACTATCTGGTCACGTTATAGTGAGACCAAATTCTGTTCTTGGCTACACAAAAGGGAAAGGAAGTTACAGTAAATTGGAGAAATTCTGAGAACATTGACTCATGGGTACTTAAGGAACTAGCTGAAGCAATCTCAGAACCATTAGCAATTCTCTTGAGAACTCATGGGGGGAGGACAGGAGAAAGGTAAACGATAGCCCCCATCATTAAAAGGAAAAGGAAGAATCTGGGGAACTATAGATCAGTCAGTGTAACTTCAGTATGTGGAAAGATGCTGGAATAAATGATAAAATAACAATTTGTAGGGACCTAGAGGACAGCAGGGTTATAAGGAACAGCCAACATGGATTTGTCAAAGAACAAATCACGCCAAAGTAACCTAGTTTCCCTCTTTGACTGGGTAACCAGCCTAGCAGATGGATCACATCTACTGCTCCCTCCCCCAGTCTGGCCTTTAGTGAGGCTTTTGACACAGTCTCACAGGACATTCTCGTAAGCAAACTAAGAAAATGTGGCTTGTGTGAAATTACTCTACGGTGGGTGCGCGACTGATTGAAAAACCATACTCAGAATAATTCTCAATGCTTTGCTGTGAACCTGGGAGGACATAGCAAGTGGGGTCCCACAGGGGTCTGTCCTGGCTCCAGGACTAGTCAATATTTTCACTGACGACTTGGATGATGGAGTGGAGGCTACACTTCTAAAATTTGCAGATGACACCAAGCTGGGAGGGGTTGCAAGTTTTGGAGGACAGGATTAGAATTCAAAATGACCTTGATAAATTGGAGAATTGGTCTGAAATCAATAAGATGAAATTCAATAAAGACAAGCACAAAATATGACATTTAGAAAGGAAATATCACATGCACAGCTCTATATTAGGGACTGGCTGGGTGGTAATACAGCTGACAAGGATCTGGGGGTTAGAGGATCACAAATTGAATATGAGTCAACAACGTGATGCTGTTGCAAAAAAGGTAAATGTCACACTGGGATGTGTTAACATGAGTGTCACACGTAAGATACGTCAGGTAATTGTTCTGCTCTACTTGGCACTGGGGAGGCCTCAGCTAAAGAACCGTGTCCAGTTTGGGGCACCACCTTTTAAGAAAGATGTGGACAAGTTAGAGTGAGTCCAGAGGAGAGCAAGGAGAATATGAAGTTAGAAAACATGAGCTGTGAGGAAAGGTTGAAAGAACCGGGCATGTTTGGTCTAGAGAAGAAAAAACGGAGGGAGGACACAAGTCTTCAAATATAAATGTTTGTTACAAAGAGGATGGAGATCTTTGTTCTCCATGTCTGGGGGTAGGACACAAAGCAATCAGCTTATTTTGCAGCAAGGAAGAGGCATGGTAGGTATTGGGAAATCCTTTCTAACTCTAGGGCTAGTTAAGCTCTGGAGCAGGTGAGTGGAATCCCCGTCATTGGAGGCTTTTAAGAGCAGGTTAGACAAACATCTGTCGGGGCTGGTCTAGGTTTACTTAATCCTGCCTTAGAGTAGCGGGCTGGGCTAGACGACCTCTTGAGGTCCCTTCTAGCCCGAAGTGTAGAAAAGGGTGGAGGGTAAGAATCTTTAGATATGTTCTTGGCCTGGTTCTCTCCTTTGCTACACTGGTTGGTAGCGATGGCGTTACACTGGAGAGTGACAGAGGAGACTCACCATTAGTAAAACATCAAACATATATTTCTAAATACCTATCGTCACAATGCAATAGGGCACTTTGGATTCTACAGCAGCGCTAATTAATGCACGGCCCATGAGGCTTTGCCTTTTGCCTTGCTATGTGTCTAAGCTAGGCATCAACTAGCATTATGGCAGAGACTATCAAGTCTTGCTGAATTACAAAATGGCCGTAGACTCCTGGAAACTTTGCCAGTGGTTGCAAGTAGCATCACATCAGCATGGCTGGAGGGTTGCGTTGGAGCTGAGATCCACCTGCATGTGTTGCTTGCACCTTGGGAGCTACATGATGAGCCAGCATCCGATTCAGAGGCCTTCATTTGCATGCAGGTTAGAGCTCTCCGGCCAAAGTGGGCAAGCCACCAGCGTGCACGTGCAAAGCTGCATTTCTGTGAGCAGGTCATGCCCGTCTGTTTACTCAGATACACCGTTAGCTCCATGCACCAATAGGCGCAGGACCCCCTTTTACAGGAGCAGCCAGCTTAGTGTGTGTAAAAACACAAACCAACCCACAAGCATGCGGAGCTGGGCCCCTGGGATGAAAATCTGGTCTTGGCTAATTGGTGATTGTGTCAGCGGATTGGGATCACAATATCCAACTGAAAATGATTTAAAGCATTGAAAACATGCCTTGTAGTGAAGCTCAGTCTGTTTAGCTTGACGGAGAAGGTTACGGGGTGACTTGATGACAGTCGATATGTCTACATGAGGAACATAATTTGATACTTGAGGGCTCTTCCATCTTGCAGAGTGAGGCATAAAAAGATCAATGGCTGGAAGTGGATGCTGGACACATTCAGACTAGAAAGAAGGTGCCAGCTTTTAACAAGAAAGATGATTAACCATTGGAACGACTCACCATGGGTTGTGATGGCGTCTCCAGCACTGGACATTTAAAATCCAGATTGTGTGTTTTTCTACGCAACCTGCTCTAGTTAAAAGAGGAATAAACTCGGGGCCATTTGATGGCTGGAGCTAGGCAGGAGGTCAAAGTTAGCTGATCCCAGTCACCCCTTCTGACTTTGTAATCTATGAAACTGTAACATTTCTGCAACTGGACACCCCCAAGAACTCTATCTGAGGTCAGAACCAAGCCTGGTCCCTCCCCTGCCATATTTTCCTTTGACCTTTCATGTGATGGCCACAGCACTGGACGTGCACGGACATTGTAAAACCAAAAGGGAATGAGATCTGGCCAGGCAGGTTTCTTTTTTCCAAACTGTTGATACAGATAGAGGACAAATAGCAACCGAGCAGTAGAAACCACCTCGTTCAATGCACCCAACTGACAGCTGAGCAGAGATTGGGAGAGGGGTAAGGCGAGGAGTCACACCAAGTGTAGGATGAGTCCAATATCCAAGTTTACAAAAGCCTGTATGGCTTATTCTGGCCTTTAATGTTCTTATGTGCCAGTTGCTGGCCCCAGACCCTTTGCAGTTTGTTTCTCTGATGCTGATATGGACCATGCTTATCTTCTATACCTAAACAAACCGACTTTGGAATGAGGAAATGGACCAGAGTGACACAGCTTCATTTGGCTCTCTGACTATGGGCCCCACGCCATTTTGTTGGGGATTTTTCTGAATCTCTCTGCAATTTCTGAATAATTTTAGAAGTGAAATATGTTCTTGAACAACCGATTTCAAAGCAGCCTGCAGAATTAGGGCCAGAATTGGGCTGCACCATAATTGAGCTCTGATGTGGGCTACCGTATCTGATCGTCTTAAGGTCAGGAGCACAGTGGGCTCAATGACTCTTTCGTATGCAAGGGCAGCAGCACCAGAGAAATGGAAAGGATCTGCACAACTGAGAAATCTCCCACTGGACCGGATCTGGAAGAGGCAAGAGCAACTGAATTAACATGGGACGTTTGTTTCCAAAAGATGAGGTTCAGGGGGCTTGCTGGAGAGGTGAGAGGGGTATGGGGAACCCCTTGTTCTATGGGGTCCTTTCTCTCTCTGTCTCTATAACCCTAGGGGTTGAAAGGAGCAGTGCCCATGTTGCTAAAGAGGGGGCAGCTCGTGCTTCAAGAGGGTCACAGGAGTAGAAACCCAGAGAAACAGAATTTTTTGTTTTAAAAGTACAAATACACTCCCCCACTCCTTCCGTTCTTCAGTGATGGCTGTGGCTACCCACCTGTCCCTATCTGTCTCAGGCCATTCTACCGGGTGCAACAGGGCCACAACATGATGTCCTAATCTCATTCCGCTTGCCTCCCTTCAGGTACGTTCTTACTCTCCTGGATCCTGCCTTTCCCAGGCTGCCAAGCCACCTGGTTCCTGCATCACTGTTGCACTGGGTGAGTTAAGTCCTGTCTATGGGAGGCAGTTGTACTAGGTTAAAGGCTTTTTGCCTGTATGAAAACTGGAACTGAAATAATGACATGAATATTTTCAAAATAATGCCCCCCCTCTATTTTGCTCTAACATTAGTAGACTGATATAATTTGTCAGTCAAATAGTTACTGAAATAAGCGATGAGACACAGACTTGCACTGAAATAATGAAAGGTGTGAATTACAGCCCATGTAGTTATTTTGGTGCCAGTTTCCAAGTAGCCAAC